GTTTTAATAATCAAAATCATCTGGAAATAAAAAATTTTTAGCGAAATTGCAAGCTAAATCAATCGATTATTTTGCATAAAAATATCAGAAAAGTTATAAGAAAGCAGAACAGTAAAGTAATTTAGTGCACTGATTTTCTGTACTAGTTGATATTATTCTTAAGTAATTAAATAAAACAGTTCAAGAGTAAACTAACAAACCTTGAGAAAGTTTGTTGAATTGATTGCAGTTAATAAAGCTTGACTTGCAATGAACATTCAGCAGCCAAGAACAATCATTTTCTAGTAAAAATAATAATGTCCATTAAATTAATTTTAGTTCATGAGAATTTGAGTTGACTAAGAACCAAAGTGAATTAAAAGAATACTGTGTCATATATAAAAGTTAGCTCCCATTTATTTTATATATTTAAAGAAACAAAAAACGTTGCTTTAACAGATACTGACTCCTATGAATCTTTCAGTATGCAGAATAATGTCAGCTTTTACGGCTTTTTTCTATAGTGCAAAATAATGCTCTTAGTTTCATAATAAAACTATTATTATGTTAATTAAAAAAACAGAAGAAACAAAAGGCAATGGAGAAAATTAATTATGTACAGATAAGAAATCTATAGTATGTGAAAAATAATTTTACTTTTCTAGTAGTATGAATAAGAATTAAAGTTAATTTATACTTAAGTTTAGTCTTGCCGATTCATTCGTCAAAAGTTTCTACAGTTTTTATCCTATTATTGCATCAGGATAAGTTTTCCTTTTTTACTAACAGATCATAATATTTTGAACTAAGTTATCATGATTTGAAATTTGAGTTTGATGCATTCTTAGCACAGTGCTGCTTACACTGATTTTTTAGAATGATGCATCAAGCTCGCATTTTGTCAATCTTGGTTCTTTATTTCGATATTAGGTGCACCAATTTTGGATCCAAATTTGCCGTTGATTATTGCTATTTCATAAACTTCATTAGAATGCAAGGAATGCATATTGTTTTAGAAACATGAAATATTGGACGATTTTGCTTAGAATATACCATATCTGTTCAAATTTTGTGTTTGAAATGTTTTCAAAAAAAGTTTGTGCAATATGAATTATTGCAAAAATAGAGATAAGTTTTAACTTTTTGTTGTTTATGGTTTGATAAAATTATTGCCAGATAGCAAATATTCAATATGTAAATGTATGCTACCAGACAGATATAAATAGGTATAAATAAATAAACAGAACAGTTATTTTATTTAGAACTCATGAAGATTCGTTTTGACACCTAAATAGGTTGACATCAATTTTTCTAGTTTATTTATTTAGCATAATTATTTTTTATCATCTTTGAAATATTTGACAGCAAATTTAAATTTCTTGTTTTCAGATGACATGCAGTGGAGAAACTGAAATGGTAATTAAGCTGGATAAGGAAAGAAAGTGGAAAAATTGAGGTCAATCTGTTTAGGTGTGAAGACGAGTGTTCAAAAATGCCCTACAACTCGAACGAAACAATGCGTAAATGATAAATGAATAATACATTAGATTCCATCTACAATTCAATAACTATTTGCCTTTTTCACAATGTTTCTTTTCAACTTATGTTTGAATACGATTCGATAATAATTCCAAAATTATCGCTCAAACTTCTCATCTTTCAACGATAGTCATTCCCTTTTTAAATCACATCATTACCTTCAAATTTTAATCACTTGAAAATTCTTCACCTGTCAATTTATATTTAATTAAAGTGAGTCAACGCTTTAATAATCTAATTATCATTCTACGGTGAAACGTACTACTGAATAGTAAAAACTTGACAATTCACAATATGATGATTTGTTCATGCTCGCTCTTCGCTTTTTATTTTAAACACTTATCTTAAACATCACTGTCATTGTCGCTTATTTAAAAGATCTTTTAAATATTATGAAGTAACGGTACTATAATATGGGTATGAACGTTTAACTTTTACATGTCGATTACTAGAATTTAAAAAAAAAGACTTTTATTGTCAAAAATCTTTTTTTTTTAAATTCTAGTAATCGACATGTTTTTAACATGATGCTGCATTTTCAATCAAATTTCCAACCTTATCCACCGCTTCTTTGACAAATTATCAAAGTTATCAGCAGACAAATAAATTCTGTCAAGTAAAATGATTATCTTTCTTTTTAATTTAATTTATATATTGAATAAACAACGAGGTAATGATGTGTTAACTTATTGTAATATTGTAACTACTAGGATTATAATGGTAAAAATTTATGAAATAAATAAACTAAAGATTTTGATTTTTGGCAAAAAAAAGTGGATTGTTTTTGATATTTGAGAATATTATTTAAAACTTTTAATGTAATGAAAACGAAATGGTAAATGTGATAGCAAACGTACATGAACGTTTGAACATTGCTGGTTAATAGTACTGAAAATAAGCACGAATTTCATGTCGAAATGAACGATCAAACAAATCATTTTTAAGTACAAACAGTTGTATAAATGAATGGCAGGTGTTTTAACAAACATAAAAGATGCTAAGTCTGCTGCTCATTTGATACAAAAATGATTTTTTAATATTAACATGCATTAATTTTGATATCGCATACCATATTAGTGTTATGTAACGTCTAATATATCAAATAATAGGGCTTGTATTACTTGAAAATCTTTATTAAATTAGTCCAGTTGTTAAGCTTCTGATAGTTAAACTATTTATATTGGCTAAAACACCTGTCATTTTGCATATTCCGTTATTACTGATGTAATTCTTCCTTTTCAAGAACTGGAACTTCCGCACAACACTATTTGACTATATGAGAAAATTTTCAAATTATCTGTTAGATTGATCTACTCACAAACAAAAGTTACTTTTTTTAATTGTAGCATCAACAATAGTATCGTTATTACTTCATTCGAAAATCTGTTAGTTTTAAACCATAAATAAAAATAAAAAATAGAACTAATCGTGGATAAACTTCTCATAATTTCCAACGATAATATTTTCAGACTTCGATGGAACAAAGCACGAGCTAAGAAGCAACAAAAGATAAGAATGAATAACCAAAAAATCACAAATAATTCGAAGCCACTTTATCATAAAAATGGTGAAACGGTATGTTTTTCGTAAAAATTGTATATTTTGGATACTAAATCCGATTTTTTGAAAATGCATTTTACTATTTCGAAAGCTATGAATTTTCACATTTCAAAAATTATATGACCTAAATAATGCATTGTTCAAAATAAAGTTGCAATTTTGCAAATAATGGCACTGATTTTTAAAGGTGATTGAATTGATTCGCTCCTCTCCAGTTACTGTCTTTTTAATTGGTTTCGTACCTCCTATAATCGGTGCTTCTGCTGCAATCATTATAGCATTAATTTTTGACAGTGAACTAATTAGCAATTATAATTGGCAATGTGGGGTGAGAATGCTAATATTTTTTGTCTTCTGTATTATCTTAGCAATACTTTAAATCCGAACATTTTCAGAAACTTTCAGGTCTCTACACATGTAATGTACCATTTTATTTACATTAAAAAATTGAGTGTATAAGATATTATAATTTTTAGAGAGCCCGATTACCGTCACTATCACGAATAATAAATTTACCAGCAGAAAGAATACTCTGGCAATTTCTAGTACTTGTGCACATACCTGCCCGTTTGATCGAATTGTTTACTGGCTGTAAGTTTTAAAAATGGAAACGTTGAGACTGAACTACAATAAAAACTTTTTGAAAAAAAAATTTTTCAAATAAATAACTTAAAATGACCATATATTTGCTAAAACAAGAATTTCGTACTACAGTTTGTCGCTATGGTCGTTTAATGAATGTAAATTGTCAACAGAAACGATTTTATGAATTCGCTCGATACGCATATTTTTATATTGGCATTGCAGAATTATTATTTATGATTGGTTTGTCTCTTCTTGGAGAACGTGAAAATATTCGTAAGTAAATTGTGAAAAATTTAAGGTTTCTGAAACAGTAGAAGAAATCGAAAAATTTCAAAATAAAGAAGCTTGAAATAGGTAAATTTAGTATTTTGGTTAAAATTAAATCAAGTATTAAGGTACAGGTAAATGGAAATGAAGTATTCATAAAATTTTACTTTCATTTAGTTTCATAATGAAATTTCTTCTAATCACGACCAAATCAATACCGAAATTAGTACAATATTAAAATCTCATTATACTGAAAAAATTTAAAACAGTGGAACTTCAGTTTCTTTTTACATCCTACTCATATGGTTGCAGAAGTTGCTAAATCAATTTACGATTTGCAGAAGCTCATGTAATCCTCTTTTATATATTTGGATTCTGTGGTATAGGTTTCTTCTTATCAAATCTTATTTGCCACCGACAATCGTTGTATTTCCTTCCTCCATATGTAAGCATGCCACTCTTTCTTTTTTTTGAAATTGGCAAAATTTTGTTTTTGAATTTTCTGATTTTCGTTAAAAATAACGACTAAAGAATATGAGTTCAATTAATGCATATTACGAAAATGAGAGAAGAAATTTTTGTGGCTGTCAAATCAGTTTTTCGCATTTCTCTTGTAACGCCTACCTAACTTTTGAAATAGATAAATTAGTTAAATTTCACAAAAAATTAAAAAATTGATAAGACAATCAGTGATGTGTCCACCCACTGTCAATAAAATATGAAATGAACATATTACCTAATGATTTTGTCAGAGTCTTATTATTCTCGTGCAATTTATATCCTTTGATTCCCCAAGTAATTTAATCTATATTTGCATTTAAATATGAACACTTTAATGCAGAAAAGTTTTGGAAACTTCATGCTTTAGACAAATGTATTTTAAAAATTAAGCAAACAAATTTAAAAACAAAGAATACGAAAGACTGATGTAAAATAAACATTGATAATTTCATTCATCTAATATGTCGAAAATCATTTTCCCATATACATTTCTACTATCTGTACAACAGTGATAGCAATTTTTATTTACGAACCACTAAAACTTAATATTTGTTATTAAAAATATTTGTTACTAAATATTTGTCACTAAAAAAGTTTGATAAGCAATTTTTCAGGGGCATTTGTCATATTATTTGAAAACAACGTTTTGTGTCATTTATTTATTGTCAGTGCCAATCCTACTTATTTCTTTTTTACTTTATTGGAAAGGCTGTGTTACTGGAGGTAAATTTTTGCTTTTATCTTAAAACTTCAATATTCAGAAATCAGCAGCGTTTCACAGATACTAAATTTTATTTCCTAAACAAAAAAATTTTGAAGAACTCTTTGAGCTAAACATCTATAAAGGGTAAAGCCTGCAACCTTTATAGATGCCAACTTTTGGAATATTTGAATTGAATCATTGGAAAAACAGTGAAACTAATATTTACAGTGATCGAAAGATTTGGATGATAATTCAAATCTTTTTGTCATTGTAGATACAAATTAAAACAAAGAAATCTGAACATATAATTAAAAGCTTGACACTTTCTCTCACTTTGTTGAAGTCTCACTATTTAAAATAATCTTAAAATATAAATTTAGCATATGATGTATTTGCAATATGCGAATATATTGCTGTGTTTTTAAATATTGCATATCATGGCTGTGCATTTTATGATATCCGATATAAAGTGATATTTAGCGTTCGACTGATCGATGTTTCAACCTTATCAGGAAATCAGTGTTACAACCTTTCTTAAGCTTGAAAATGCTTTCATAACCAGTTTCTATTTTACAGTATTATGTCATTACTTCATTGTTATCAAAAATTTGGTTATAAGGAATGATTTCAACAAAATATTGAACTTCTTACTTCACTAGCCTTTAAAATTAGTAAACTCAGTGGTGAAATCTTCTGTGTTTCAACGAAATAAGCATATCCAAATTTATTACCTACATTTTCCACGCTCCTCATCAGTCAGCATGTTTAATCCTACGTTTGACTACACTTAATTAATGAAATGGAATGAAAATAAACAGGCCACAATTTATTATCTACAATGTTTTCCTTTACTAGCTATTTTTTTATACAGCACATCGCCACCTTTCCTTTTTATTAAAATAAAAATATGTATTTTGGTACGAAAAAATTCGATCAACACGACTGATTACGAGCATTTGCAACTACATCACCTAATTTTTTTAAGCTCCTTATCAACATATCTGATACCAGGTTAGACTACAGTTAACTGACGAAATGGAATGAAAATAAACATGCTACATATTAAAATTAGCGCTTAAAATTCGCACTAGAAAATACTATTTTTCTGCTTGTAACTCAATCTTCTTTTCAAAGGTGGAGAGAAGGAATTTATAAGCAAGAATGCTTCATTAGAAGCAGATGAAGATGATGGTAAAATTATGGATCATTCAGCGTTTCAGATGACATTCCGGAAAATGTGATCACCGAACTTCTGAAGAAATAAATAGTTGCCATAAAAATATACAACATTGGCACAAAGGACATGTGGCCAGGTTGAAAGAGTTAAAGAGTCTTGGACCTTTGCTCCTGCTTATCATCATCCTCCAAAGAGCTTTATTATACCTTCCGCAAGCTTTAGCTGTCTCATTTTTCACACAGTTTTATTCGAAGGATATAAAAATACTATTGGCAACGACTTATAACTTAAAGCACAATTATTCCTTTCCATTCCATTCTTTTTTCAAGTTGCAGTTATTGATCATCTCCAGTTGTGGTACTTATATAGAGATTGATAAAGTGAAGCAGGAAAAAGTTCATGAGTATTTTTTTCATTCAAATCTTTCACCATTACTGGGTGGTTTCCCTTACGAAATTCTGTTCTTACTTCAATTTTCCCAAGATTCCTATGGTTATAAGTTTATTTTGTTTTTCCCGCTCAATAAATTTTACTTTTCTTATCTTCTTCCCACACAGTTTAAAAAGTATTTCTTTTATCACAGCGTTACTAACATAATTTACAAGAAAAGCATAGGTAGGCAAAAAGGTGGAAAGCGAACAACAATCTTCAGATAAACTCCATAAACCTCAAAATCTCGTGCTTATGAGAATTTATATATTTAAACTTTGAAAAATAAGCCGACAAAAAAAAACACTGAATGGAAAAGTGGAAATGAAGCGCCACTTGTGATAAAAATGTAAATATTATTTTTAGAATCACTTTTCAACACACATTTAGTTGAATTTTGCTAGTGAGTGCGTGCTCCTGAGCGTGCACGAAAATGAATTTTTGTGGCGAGAAAAGTGGAGATTAGGCCTAACATATCCGAGACAGCTGTGTTACTTCTTTCTACTATTGCTCTTCTTTTCAAAGCAGCTGCTGTCTTATTCAATAATATGAATGGATATGTTTCATCAAAGTAAGATTCGACGGACGCCGTTTAACTACGCTTAACTACCATATTCGTGCGTTTATTTACATCTCTTTAATGCCTTCCATTAAGCAAAAGTGCTTCCTTTCAAGGGAATTACTACTTCTTCCATTAGTATTGTGTAATGTGCGTTTGCAACTTCCATTCCAAAAACAATTCGTTTCAGTATTATTCACCTTTTGCATTTCCAACTTTTCATGTGTGTTAGTATCACTAAGTTCTCCATTACTTTCTTCCACACAATCAACTTGTTTTTCATACATAAATTGTAAATTCGCGAAATTTGCATTCTCTACTAAATTGTAATGTCCTTTTGTGAACATAAAAGTTTTCGATCAAGTTTTTATAGAGTCAGTTTTTTATAAATATTGTTATGCATTTTGTAATATGTAGGAATGGTGAAAAAAATGGTAGCTCATCATCAATATTCCTCATTGTTTTCTCATTAGATTCATCAATTTTTTCCACTGAATTAATGCTTCGTAAATACCCAAGTTTACATTAAATTTCATTCTGCTGATGATCTCGATTTATCACTTACCAGTCCAAAAGGTAATCGGAACTCTGGATAATGTGAAAACATTTCGTCTGCCAGTTCCAACCATTATATATCACTGGTGATAAAGGACAAAAAATTTATAGTGAATATGAAACCAATTGAATTTGATGTGGCTGAAGCCCAACATTAGCTATAACTTTTCTCAAATGTAGTAAGTATTGAATTTCTTTTTTCAAATGTTGTAAGTATTAATATTAAAATGCGATATAACTCTTCCAGTGAGAATCCAAAATTGCTGTTATTCTTTCTCAACAAGTAGATTATTTAATGCTGAATACTGTTTTCAGCTTCAAAAGTGGTAAATAAAAGTCGCTAAAAAGTAAGTGATCCATTCTCTCTCACGTATTTCCACTTTCTTTTCTCATCATCCATTACAACCAATTTTGTTCATTACCTTCAATAACAATTGTTTAATCTAATTATTGATATAGGTTTTTTAAATGTATTTTTTAGTTATTTTTTGATCTAAGCTTCTTAAGAATTCAATATTTTTGAACCGTGTAATCTCTTTCAGAGTCTATATATTTCTTCTTCTTGTAGCTTAAAAAGTATGCCTTTCTTCTGGTCACTCATGCATTGCTGTGAGATCGATTCAACTTGATATATTGTACAGTATTTTCTGTTTTTTCTAAGCTTTGAAAAAATATTTTATTGTTATAGTCAAAGTGCAGACATAGTAGTGTTTTCTCAGTATAATGTATTCAGTACCAAAATTTTTCTAATGCTGTGATTTCAGTAAAAATGTTGATTATGTAGGGTAATTAACTGCAGCTTATTCGCTATATTATGAGCATCAATTAGTTGAAGTTCATTTCATCTTTCAAAGAAGCCTTTTACTGATACTCACAAATATCATATAATAACATGCTACTTTGGATTGCGTTTTTCACCACTACTACTCGAATTTTCAAAATCCTCTACTTATCACTCTTGCTAGTACTAACAAGTAAAAAGCCCATTCATATTTTTAACCAGTTCGTCTTGCATTAGTGATTTGTCCGTAGTACTTCTTGCTGACTTTATTTAATAAATATTAAACGTGGTAATCGATTTTCTATCTTGTTCGTCATTTTAAAGTAAACTAAAGCATCCGTGAAAGAATTAGAAAAGTTTACTCGAATTCGCAGAAAATACTGTTTTTTTGCTATGCACTTTTGTATTTATCTTTCTTTCTCACCCCTTTTCCTGCTAATTTTTTCCAGGTTGACTAAATATCTATTATAGATTTTTAATGAGCGCACGCAACACCATACAACTAAATATAGAAGAAATACAGAAAGATGACACTATGCTCCGCAACGAGAAATCGACGAAATTTTTTAAATTTAGTTTGACAGTGATATTTAATGCTGCATCAGTGCTAGCTATTACCCTTAGCATCATCATCCTATGCTTTCTTGTCCATTTAATTTATAAAGTAGTGTGGATTGAACTATCGTCCAGTCTTAATTGATAAAGAAGGAAAGCCTTATTTTTTTTAACACACAAAATTGTAATTTTTTCCGTTAACAGCTAGTTTAGTAGAATGAGATAGCAGCATAAAATTCACAATCCTCCTATACCTTTCAGAAATGGAAAAGTAATCTCTGAAACGCCAAGGGCATTCAATCTTGTCTTTCTCAGATGATGGATGCATCATGTATGTGCGTGTAAAAGTGGAAAAAGTGACTTCGACGACCTCTGTGCGAGCAATTCAAAACAGATAAAACTAACACTCTGAATTTGATGCGTAAGTAAAATAGTGAAGTGTAGAAACTCTACTTGTAATCTTTCATTTCTCGACCACTTTCAGCTGTCAGTGGTTTTGTTGCTCGCTGTGAAGTATGTATGTGTATGTAGGGATGAGAGGTTGATGGCCAGAAAGAGATAACATTACTTCAGCTGCAACCATTTTTATCATTCATCAGACTGGCCTTATGTCTTCCTGCACAGCTAACTTCCTTACTCACATACAAACATGCTAATATAAGAAGCCTTATGATGGGCAAAGCAGCCTTCATTCTTTGCCTCTTCATTTACTAGCTGCCCACATTTTTAAACAAAATTCCTTCTCTCATGTACATTTAATTAACTTACTCATCGATACCATTCTTTACTGAATCTTCTCTAATTGAAGTGTGAAAACGTTTTTGGTAGGATCTAGTTAAGTTCTCATGTTTTCTACTCAATTTTTATACCTTCTCAATTCAGTGTTCTGGGGTAAAAAATTTGCTTTTGATTAATGGAAGAGACAGTTTGATCTATCTGTATCTTCCATTTATCATAAGCAAATTTCTCAGATGGGAGGATCAGGAGAGCACAATTCAGGACACTTGTGTTTTAAGACCCTCTACCTGACAGAAAGCGCAAATATTTTACATTCTGTCAAATTTGGTATATGCACACTTTATTTTACTCATCAGCCAAACTTTTTAATTTCTCTGATTACTAACGATGGGATTTTGGCTTACATGTAAGCTTTTTTGTTGTTTTTGATTAAACCGATGAAATTTATTTTGATTTAAGTTAATTGAGTTGTTTCGTCTTCAAAAAAAATAATCATAGCATTCTTTGCATAAACAAAGCCAACCCGTGCTTAATGCCTTATATTATTTTTCACATTCAACTTCTACCATTCCTTTTGCTTTCTCTCAGATTTAATTTCCCTTTATTGAAAAAAACGAAAAAAAAAACTAGTTCTATTAGACATTTGAACGATTTATGTTCCAAGTTTTCGTGGGTGTCTAGTAAAGGCTGAAAATATGCGCACAGATTACTCGGAAAGCATTAACGGGAAAAAGTTATTTTCTA